CTGTCGAAGCAGTTGTCTCCTGCTTTGCTTACAATTTTGACAGTCATTTGGCCAAATTTCGCTTTTCTAACCATGGGACCTAAGAAAATAAGTGTAAAGGACAGTGCTGAGAAGAAAAAGATGATGATTTCCATGGAATTAATGCATGAAATCATAGGTAAACATAAGCAAGGTGCACGAGTTATGGATTTAGCCAGACAATACCAGTGCAGTACATCTACTATATGTACGATACTAAAGCAGCAGGAGTCGATAAAGGCTATAGTGCCAGCCAAGGGCATTACAATAACATCTAAGCTGCGGACCTCTGTCCATGAAAAGATGGAGAAGCTGCTGCTGACGTGGTTGAAAGAGAAGCAGCTCGCAGGAGATACCATATCAGTCATGTTCAGTGATTAACCTTTAAACGGTCCAAACATATATATTCGTTCTCTCACGTAGCGCCCCAAACGTATACATATATAACTAACAAAAAAGGCACAATACCGTGACTGGAACGATACACAAATAACCCGCACATAAAAGAGAGAAGCTCATGACGACGTTTCGGTCCGACTTGGACCATTGACAAAGTCACACTAACCAGAGGTGGAGCAGGACGGCTATACAGTGGACCCCCGCATAACGATCAGCTCCCAACTCGACCAATTATGTAAGTGTATTTTTGTAAGTGCTTTTGTAGGTGTATTTTTGGGGGTCTGAAACGGACTAATCTAATTCACAATATCTCTTATGGGAACAAATTCGGTCTATAACGGCACCCAAACAGACTTCTGGATTGAAATAATATCGTTATCCGGGGGTCCACTGTATATAGGCAGGAAGAGGTGGTGGTAGTAGTAGTAGTAGTAGTAGTACAGAATTGGTTAGTGTGACTTTGTCAATGGTCCAAGTCGGACCGAAACGTCGTCGTAAGCTTCTCTCTTTTATGTGCGGGTTATTTGTGTATACATATACGTTTCCTTGCCATTCATTCAACGTTGCCACGATAAGCCTGAGTCGCCTAGACATGAGAGAATGTGTGCACACACTCACTGTGTGCCATATGAAAAAAATTGGGGATGCCTGGGTACCATATGCTCTTTTCTCCTATTAAAAAAAAATTTTTTTTTCTCAAAAAATTCAGGGTGCTACGCTAGAGAACGTATATATGTATGTTTGGACAATTTAAGGGTTAAACAAAACAAATTGTATCAGTTATGTTCAGTGTAAGTACATATACACTTTATATAAAGTTTATTATTTCTTTACATTCTGTAGTGCATTATGATTTATTATGTGTTTATATACGATATTTTCAGTGTTTTCCCTAGAATACTAGTGATCTACTGCAGTTAGCCTCAAAAATACTCTGTTTTCTCTTACAATAAGAGCATGGGAAGATACTCTCATTTTTTTTTTTTCAACAAACCAGCCGTATCCCACCAAGGCAGGGCGGCCCAAAAAGAAAAACTAAAGTTTCTCTTTTTAAATATAGTAATTTATACAGGAGAAGGGGTTACTAGCCCCTTGCTCCCGGCATTTTAGTCGCCTCTTACAACACGCATGGCTTACGGAGGAAGAATTCTGTTCCACTTCCCCATGGAGGTAAGAGGAAATAAACAAAAACTAGTAAGAAAATAAAAGAAAACTCAGAGGGGTGTGTGTATATATATGCTTGTATATGTATGTGTAGTGTGACCTAAGTGTAAGTAGAAGTAGAAAGACATACCTGAAATCTTGCATGTTTATGAGGCAGAAAAGAGATACCAGCAATCCTACCATCATGTAAAACAATTACAGGTTTCTGTTTTACACTCACTTGGCAGGACGATAGTACCTCCCTGGGCGGTTGCTGTCTACCAACCTACTATCTATAACTCTCAGTATATACACAGGAAATGGCGGACGCTTCTGCTGCTGCCTATGCACCATATTATGGCCTATTTTATTCATTCTAGAGTATTTATGATGTTTCTGTGTTAATTATATTGTTTATGTCATATTAGAAGAATTGTGATAGATAAATAAGCTGTACAGTTGATAATAGCATCATATTCAGGTATTTTTTCTCGTCTCTCCAGAGTGCGGGAACAAATTAATGGCTTTTCAATTAATTTAAATGAGGAAAATTAATTTGATATAGTACAAGAAAATTGAGTTACGAGCTAGCTCCTGGAACGGATTAAACTCGTAAGTCAAGGTTCCACTGTACTTATATTTTTGTGCATGTTGAATGATAATAAGAAAATACACCTACCATCTGACTTACAACCGAGTTCGGTTCCGAGAAACCGGTTGTAAGTCGAAATGGTCGTAAGTTGAACTTTACTACTGAATATCAACAAAACATTTTTGTAATGACTTTATTGTTTTATTTTGGTATTTCATGTTTTACTTTACTTTTTATGTTGTTGGTACTGTATTTTATACTGTAAGGTTTAGGATAAACACTGTGTACAACACAAATAGTTGTTTATTTCCCAGAAATTTGGCATAAAAAACACGGTCATAAGTCGAGTGGTCGTAAGTCGAGCAGGTCGTAAGTCGGATGGTAGGTGTATATTACAGTTATGTGCTGAACTATCTAAAAATACTGAGTGTAAATATAAAATCTGCTTGATTTCATTTAAAAACATTTCTTTTTGATAAATTCCAGTCACAGACGTCAGGTCAGCATTAACCCTTTCAGGGTCCGTGCCGTAGATCTACGGCTTTACGTTCAGGGTCCAAATCGTAGATCTAAGCCAAAATTCTAGCGGTGTCAAATTTAGCAGGAGAAGGCTGATAGGCCTACATCTGAGAGAATGGGTCTGGGTGGTCAGTGAGCGCACTATAGAAAAAATTTGGACGCCTACATGGCATTGTGGGAACTCCGCCAAAGTAGCTCTGTTCATCATGACAGGCGGCAAGGAAGCTCTCACTCCCCACGCACTCTCCGGGTGAATTCTGACTTTCCTCTTCACAACTTACAGTTCTAAGACTGATGGAAGTGGATATGAAGAGGAATTCTATAGTTTTGAACCATATGGTACAATAGTACCATATGGTACAATGGTGCCATGTCATACAATGGTATCATATGGTACAGTGGTACCATATGGTACCATGTACCATATGGCACATTGTACCATATAGTACAGGGTACAGGGACCCTAATGGAAATAAGTCTGTCTGACTTTTTTGAGTTATCCTAGGTTCTCCAAACATATGCTGCTAAGTATGATAATCTATGTAACTTTATTTGTGTATACATAAATAAACTTACTTACGATGCCACATGAGCTTGAATAAGTTTATTCAGATGTACACAAAATTGACTCAAGAAATCGTAATGACACGATTGCAAACAAACCATATCCCCGGCCGGGATTGAACCCGCGGTCATAGAGTCTCAAAACTCCAGCCCGTCGCGTTAGCCACTAGACCAGCTAGCCACAGCTAGCTGGTCTAGTGGCTAACGCGACGGGCTGGAGTTTTGAGACTATGACCGCGGGTTCAATCCCGGCCGGGGGTATGGTTTATGTACACAAATACAGTTACATAGATTATCATACATAGCAGCATATGTATAAAATCCTAGGATAACCCAAAAAAGTCTGGGTGACTTATTTCCACAGGGATCCTTGTATCTGTACCATATGATGTCCTGTACTGTATGGTACCCTGCACCATATGATATCCTGTACTGTATGGTACCCTGTACCATATAGTACAATGTACCATATGGTACCCTGTAACCTATGATACCATGTACCATATGGTCAGTTAGAGGTGTTGATGCCAGGAGGCGCCAGCCAAGATTGAGTGGTGATGCAAGTCACTGACTCAGCAGTTTCCAAGACAAAGCGCTTTGTCATCCACCTCAAGGAACATGTCGAGTGGCTGTACATTTGTAAATATGTAATAGAACATTACTAATATACAACATTTTTGCATATTTTTGTTGTAAACAATTATTGTAAACGAAATAATGATGAAAATATTAGTGTGTTTATTGTGTTGAATACAACAGTACCATATAGTACCTTATGGTACAATCATTGTACCATATGGTGCAATGTACCATATAGTACAATGTACCATATGGTACCATTGTACCATATGGTACCATAAGGTACCATTGCACCATATGGTACTATTGTATCATATGGTACCACTGTACCAAATGGTGACATTGTACCATATGGTACCATTGTATCATATGGTGTCATTGTACTATATCGTACCATATGGTACCATTGTACCATATGGTATCATTGCACCATATGGTACCATTGCACCCTATGGCACCATTGTACCATATGGTACTATATGGTACCGTTGTATTCAACACAATAACCGCACTAATATTTTCATCATTTTGTTTACAATAAACTTGTAAACAAGTTTTGTAAGCAATATAATGATAAACAAATTAGTGCAGTTATTGTGTTGAATACAATGAGTGTACACTTATACAATATACATTATATTGGTCTCACAGGCCACAAATGTTATTAGAAAAAGAAAAAATTAGAAAAGAAAAGAAAAAAGTATAAAAAAACATAAAATAAAAAAAATGCAATTTTGCAAAGTCACTGATGTTGCCGCCACCCGGTCATTTTGGGTCAACTTCCTGCCGCTGTATCTCGGTAAGTACTGATCAGAATTTTTTTTTTTTATTACCTTCACAAACATATTATCTTTAATTCTGTAAGAATTTTTTTTTTTTCAATTTTTTTTGGATACTGGGGCACCCCTTCAGATTCTGGCCTTGGACCCTGAAAGGGTTAATGTCCTATACTGAAGGACTTAGCTACATACAAATAACGACAATTGATTTTCCCCCTGTGATGGCCCTGAATTTTACAAGACGGGAGTCCTAGACTAGACAATTTGAAATCCTGTTTTTCCTAGTGATGTTTTCACAGTGTGAATGCTGATATCAAAAATAAACACACACATGCAATAATTACCACAGAATGCTTTGTGCAGTCACTCCTCGGATTAAAATAACGTGGAAAGTAAAATCAACTCACTCCACTGGAATAATTTTAATGGCATAAAAGTGCCCATCTAGCTTGTGTTCAGCCTTCACAACTACTCCAAAGCCTCCCTTTCCCAGGATTTCTCCTTCCTTGAACTCCCGAGTGTAGCGATCCTCTAGGAGATGCTGGGAGGAGCTTGATAACATCAAATGGCTTGTAGGGTTTGTTAGAGTTGTTGGAAGACGTAACCTGTGCAGGAAAAAATATTTGTAAATGAAGTACTATACTCATAACTAAATGACTTGTACATACTTTCTGCTTTTTGTAAGGCTGGGTCATGGGGCAATCAATAATTAAGATAAATCACAAATAACCTGCACTTAGGAGAGGAAGCTTATAACGAGATTTCGGTCCATCTTGGACCATTGTCTAGACACAACTGAGGATGAAAAAACAAGGAAGGCCAGAAGACAAGATCTTTTATTGCTACACTATTTAAGTTATCCTTGGCACACTACCTAACAATCTAAAACACACACAAGATCAAAACTTACTATTATTTTTTACTAACACATTGGCCGATTCCCACCAAGGCAGGGTGGCCCGAAAAAGAAAAACTTTCATCATTCACTCCATCACTGTCTTGCCAGAGGCGTGCTTACACTACAGTTATAAAACTGCAACATTAATACCCCTCTTTCAGAGTGCAGACACTGTACTTCCCATCTCCAGGACTCAAGTCAGGCCTGCAACAAAAATTTTTTTTAGCTATTCAAAAGGAACTACAGTAGACCCCTGGCTATCGGCCAGTTCAGTTATCGGTCAACTCTGTTATCGGCTGGTTTTTCAGCGCCCGGCTATTGGCCGTTAATTCGGTCATCGGCCATTTGGGAGGCATCCATCCGCTGGCTGGGGCCGCTTGCGAGTCAGTTTGGCTTTGTCTCTCGGTAAGTGAGGAAGCTTTTGCTCATTCATCCAAACATTTTGCTATAACCCATTGTTTTTTGTGGTTATTGATCTAGTACAGCTGCAAAATAAGCAGCCATGGGCCCAAAGAAACACGTTACACAGTATATGAAAACATGCAATGTTTATATGCGATGTATATTTAACCCCTTGACTGTAGCAACCCTCAATCCTGATAGAGAATCTTTTCCCGATTGTAATGACACCAAAAAAAATGAAATCTGATGGAAAACTGACGGAATTACACTCTCGCAAAGTTAGCGACCTCGACGATATTTACAAATTGGCGATTTCGCCCACTTTGAGCCCTATTTTCAGCTAATTCCATTGTTCCAGTCGACCAAACTCACAGCTATTTCTTTAGAACTCTGTTTTTTCTACCGACTGAGTACAAGAAACTGCCCATTTACCAATTTCAAATACCCAATAATGTGGTCAGAAATTTTCAATTTGGCCAATTTCACGAAAATTAAAAAATATGACAATTTCAAAATAAGGTCCAGAATGAACAATGCAGACATTCCTGGCTCTAAAATAACATTTTCTTTGTTCATCAGTTATGTCTCCAGGCCCCTCTGATATTACTCTTGCTTTCTGTTTTGAATTTTAATTCAAACAAAAAATAGAAGATTTACTGTTATGCAGACTACTACAATACTGTAATAATTGTACAAATAATGTCAAGACATTCATGACTGCATATTAGAATGGCTACTTGGACATTTATTGGAAAATGACATCATTTGTTTACTTTTGAACATCGGGAAAAATGAAACATTTCCCCTACTTTGAGCTCCATTTCCAGGTTCTTTTTATAGTAAAACCAATCAAAATCACCTCTTTTCTATAACATGTTTTCCATTCTATCAAGTGGGACCAAGAAAATGAGAATACAACCATAAATACTATACGAAAATAGACCACAAATTTGGCATTTTAACCCTTTCAGGGTCCAAGGCCCAAATCTGGAGTCACGCACCAGTGTCCAAGAATTTTCAAAAAAAAAATTTGTTATTTTTTCTTATGAAATCGTAGAGAATCTTTTTGTGAAGGTAATAAAACAAAAAGTACGAAATTTGGTGGAAAATTGACGAAATTATGCTCTCGCGAATTTTGATGTGTCAGCGATATTTACGAATCGGCGATTTTGCCGACTTTGACTCCCATTTTAGGCCAATTACATTATTCCAATCAACCAAATTCTTAGCTATTTCACTAGTATTACTTCTATTCTATCGATTGAGCACAAGAAATCGCCAAGTCAACTGTTTCAACTACAAAATAAAGTGATCGGAAATTGTTAATTTGGCCAATTTAACACAAAGTTCAAAATATTCCAATTTCAAAATAGGGTCCAGAATGAACAATGTAGGCATTCCTGGCACTAAACTAACATTTCCTCTGTTCATTAGTTATGTTTTGAGGCTTTACAAATAAATTCCATTTTGATTTTTTTATTCACATAATGAATTTTTATTCACACCAAAAAATAGAAGATTTACTGTTATGCAATACTGTAATAATTATATAAATATCATCACCATATTTGTGAATGTATATTAGACCCACCAGCTGACGTGTATTAGACGTGTGAGGTCGTTTGTTTACTCTTGAATATCGGCAAAAATTTAACATTTCTGCTACTTTGAGCTCAGTTTCAAGCCATTTCCCGTGCTAAAACCAATCAAAATCATCTCTATTTCTGTAATATGTCTTCCATTCTATCAAATGAGACCAAGAAATCGCAAATACAACTATAAAAAACATACGAAAAAACACTGCAAAGTTGCTGTTTTAATCGAAAAATCATGATTTCATTTTTTTTCTCTCATTATACACAGTGTGCTGCAGGATCTGTTTTATGTGGTGCACACATACCACATAGATGTATTCTCTCATATCTAGGCCCAAATGTACCACTCACAGTTTATCAGAGTGAGCTGAGCTCATGGCGTAGATCTACGGTTTGGACCCTGAACGTAAAGCCGTAGATCTACGGGACGGACCCTGAAAGGGTTAATTAAAAAAAAAAACTTTTTTTTTCTCATTATGCACTGCATGCTCCAGGATTTTTTTTATATGGTGCACAGTGACCACACAGACCCATTCTCTCACATGTGGGCCTACCAGCTTTCTCCTGCTTGATTTGAAGCCGCTAGAATTTTGAGTATATATACGTCAAACACGGTACCTCGCAAGACGTACATATATGACCGAAACAGTCAAAGGGTTAATAATAATCACTGGTACATTAAATGTCTTATTTTACATTAATATAAACATTTTCATTAATCTATCTATTATATCTTCTTCAAAATTATGTAAGAAACATGTTACATAGCATATAAACATGCAGTGTTTAATATATGTGATGTATATTTAATAATCACTCTTTCCCACATTAAATGTCTTATTTTACGTTAATATAGACATTTTCATTAATCCATTTATGATATTTTCTTAAAAATTATATAAGAAACACATTACATATCATGTAGCATATAAACATACCATATAAACATGCAATGTTTATATGTTATCGAGTGGAGAGTGGGATGGAGAGTAAACATTACGTTTTCTCTGATGCAGCGTTAGAGAAAACTGACTCTGGCAACTGGTGCAGTAACCGCCCTTCATATGCGTTTGTTTACAATTCTTGGCATGAATTATTCATTACTTCTCCCTTTATTTATGATAGCATCTAAAGGTAGTTGTTAGAAACGATTAAACTCAGTGAACATGGTAATACTATGGCTGTGTAGTGTAATAATATGGCTGTGTGTTGTAATATAGCTGTGTAGTGTAGCCCGGGGGGGGGGGGCTACAGACGTGTACTGTACCTACATCTACTGCTACCTACACTGACTTCCTACAAATAAATACTACTCACCTCTTGCCCTACATTAAGACTACAAATATTTTAAGGTTAATATTAAATGTACTGTAGCAGTAAATGACAGATTAAAGAGGTGTGTGCAATGTGGACTAGGGTGCAAGCTTTTGTAGAGAAACACCACCCTGACAAAGCTGAAACAAGCCATATCTGCAACATGTTCAGTGACAAAACCCTGTCCCACTTCAGGGAAATCTTAGAGAGATGCCAGAAACAGACCTCTATAGACAGATTTGTTGTGAGACAGGGGTCCAGTGACTCTCAAGCTGGTCCTAGTAGCATTAAAAGACAAAGAAGGGAAGTAACCCCAGAGAAGGCTTTGCTACCTAAAGTCTTTATGGAGGGGGATTTCCCTTCCAAACATTAACTCCTCCCTCTTTCCTCTTCCCTATCTTCCAGAAGCCAGCATTAGCCTTCAATAAAGGTATGTAAAATTTTTTTTTTTTTTTTCAACAAGTCGGCCGTCTCCCACCAAGGCAGGGTGACCCAAAAAAGAAAGAAAATTCCCAAAAAAGAAAATACTTTCATCATCATTCAACACTTTCACCACACTCACACATTATCACTGCTTTTGCAGAGGTGTATAAAGATACACAACATATCCCTCCAAACTGCCAATGTCCCAAACCCCTCCTTTAAAGTGCAGGCATTGTACTTCCCATTTCCAGGACTCAAGTCCGACTATATGAAAATAACCGGTTTCCCTGAATCCCTTCACTAAATATTACCCTGCTCACACTCCAACAGATTGTCAGGTCCTAAGTATCATTCATCTCCATTCACTCCTATCTAACACGCTCATGCACGCTTGCTGGAAGTCCAAGCCCCTCGGATTAATTGTTATTTTTTTTTTATTATTATCACACTGGCCGATTCCCACCAAGGCAGGGTGGCCCGAAAAAGAAAAACTTTCACCATCATTCACTCCATCACTGTCTTGCCAGAAGGGTGCTTTACACTACAGTTTTTAAACTGCAACATTAACACCCCTCCTTCAGAAGAAAAACTTTATCGGATTAATTGTATTTCCATTAATTCTTATGGGAAATATTAATTCGGTTTTCGGCCATTTTGGTTATCGGCCGACCTTCTGGAATGGATTACGGCCGATAACCGAGGGTCCACTGTACAGTAACATTAAAAGTAACAAAGACCTTTAGTTATGAAGAGCCACAAAGCCTCTAATGGATAAGTGGCACTGAACAAGAATCAGCGTGCATAATCACATCCCCCAGCCTCCTTTACCTACATCATCTTCCCTCTAATTCCTTCCACCCAGATCCTTTCTTCATCCATTTACCTCAAAATCCACATTTCCTCCCATTGGCCAGCCACCTCCAAATATTCCCCAACATCACCTTCCACCCAACCTGACTCCTGTTAGTGCTAA